CGGGCCGGGCATTGTAGGGATGCGAGGTTTGTTGTCTAACGGATTCGGCTTCAGGTTCCAGGAGACCCCCCCCCTCCCCCCCCCCCCCGATGAACCAGAAGGCAGTATGTATGCGTGGAAACCGCAACCCTCACCTCCCAAGCCAACCCCCTCCCCGCGAACGCTGGCAGGAGGCCGAGAGAGAGCAGCGCATAGCGAAGGAGAAGGAGGAGGGGGGGCCGGACCCACGTATCGTGGAGATGGATGTTCTAAAGACGCAGGTTGCACCGCGAGGTATGTATGCCAAGACGAGAGGACCTCCCCGGCGTTTCTAAGACAAGCGGCATATGCGTCAGCGTGCTCATTTTAATGTGTTTCCTTCGTTGGATATGCGCCGACCGCGCTAACCGGCCGACCAATGAAAGTACGTCAGTCTGATAGGCGGGATAACGACGCGCGTGTGCGTTTCTTGAATATTTTGCGTCGAGCGCACTATTTAAATCGGCCGACCACACTTTGCAGACATTCGCGCTGATCCGGCGGCTATTGTCCCGCTTTGTCTGATGCGAAACGCTCGTCAGGGTTCCGCGTGAGCGAGATAAAGGCGGACGGGCACTGTCTGTACCGAGCGGTGGCGGACCAGCTCTCGTTGACGGGGAGAAGGCCGGGGCTGACGGAGGAGTCCTACCCGCTCATGAGGCAGGAGGCCGCAAGGTACGCTCCCAAATAATTTTGTGGCGACGGTAGGTTATTGGTGGTCGTCTGTGATACGTGCGGTCGGCTTGCGGGGGTTGATTCAAGTGGACGCGTTTGGTGTGTGTGGTATGTGTGGCGTCTCCAGTAGAAGAACTGGTGTCTGGTGCACGTTCTGTTGTTCGTCTTGCATGAGGAGTGGTGGGAGGAAGTGACAAAAAAATGGCAACGGTAGAAAGCGGCTAGATAATATAGACACGTCAGGGAGGTGTGGTGTGGCGTCGAGCTTCGGGGTGGACGGACGGGCGTCGGCCTCTGTTGTAGCGGTTGAGACTATTATTAGCGGGAACGACCACCCTGCCCCCCCCCCTTCCCATGAAACCCTGTGTGAGGAGGGGCCGTGCTTTCAAACCCCTGTGTTCGCAGAATCTTGCGAAGAGGCGCCCTCCCTTGCCCTTTGTACCGCAAGTCCTCCTTTGCACGTCAGCGACAGAGAAAAGAAACACCACCCAATCCGCGTACCAAGCCCCTACCTACACGGCCCCATTGTTCCTATCCCCCATCCACCCCACACCCCAGTCACGCCCTATGCGCCGTTTTGACCCTACCCCTGTGGCGAAGATAATCGGGACCTTTTCTTTCATTGTTTTCGACTCTTGTCGCAGAGAACTGCGGTCCTCTCCTAGCGAGTACCTTCCATTCCTGGACGGTCTGGAGGAGGGGGAGGAGTTCGACAAGTACTGCGTGAAGGTGGAGGGAAGTGCCGAGTGGGGCGGCCAGGTGGAGCTCCAGGTATTTGCTGTTGTTTCGTGTTTATTTGTCGAGTTTTGTGTTCCTCCAGGTACCATAGGTACACAGCAGCGTCGCGGTATGTACCATGGTATTGTTTTACACTCCTGATCATTCCACATTTCACCCGGGTTCTACTGCCATTCATGTGTGGAGGTCAGGATATATGGAGATTCAGGGAGCGCAGACACACGTGCATCAAGAGTAAGATCTGAGGGATCTGCGATAATGAATCACTGCTCTCCCCCAGGGTTCCATGACTCTTCCGATTTCCAACAGCTGCGAATGGTTGATGAACCTCAAAGGAGAATAGGAAAATGAGTCCACGAAGCCTCGCCCATTCTCCGCACCACCCTGTCTATGTAGCTTGACTGAGTTCGCTCGGTCACGCTTGGCATTCGTCGCCACATGGCACCAAAGGAAATAACCAGCCTCCGGTGACAGGTCATACCCACCACACCTCCGGACTCTCTGCTCACCCAGAGTAGAGGGCTGTACATGTTGTTTTGTGTCGCTGTGAATTCTATTCAT